GGGAATGAATAGAGACTTCACACTTAGCCATATTCCTATTCCTTTTTTATTTTGAAACAGGGTCTCACTAAACTGCCCAGGGTGAGCTCAAACTTGCAGTCTTCCCGCCTCAGCCTTCTTCTAGGGGGCCAAGAGGATTACTGGCATGTGCCACCACCCTGGGCAAGGGATTTTGACGGAGTGCAGCCTGGACAAAAGGGGAGGACTCTGTTTTGCAAGAAAGAAAAAGAGGAGAGAGGCAGAGAGAAAAAGAGAAAGAAATTTTGTAGGTTCTGATATGGGAGGGAGAAGCAGGTCCTCAGAGGAGCTGAGCCAGGCATGGGTGGAAAACCTGTCTTCCTAAGCAGTTCTAAATTTTCCCCTTTTGGCCAAGGACCCAGAACTCAGATCGCTCTCCTGGGACATGTGACAGTGGGCCTGCATCTGTAGGTTCCAGGTGAGCCAGGACCCTACCTTGTCACGGCCCGTGTGGCTGAAGGGTTCGAGGAGTGGGAAACAACGGTGAGATTAAGAAACTTAAAGAACAAGACGAGGGCAGGGAGACTGTCCCGAGACAAAAAGCTTGGCGGGCACCCTCGGCAGCTTTCATACCATAGACCGGAAACCGGAGGGGCCGCCCCACGAACCGGGAGGAGGCTAGGCAGGCCGTGCTGGAGATAATGGGGGCTCTGGCCGGTGGAAGCCTTGCTCCGCCCCGCCCTCCTGTCCTCAGTTTCCCAACGCTGGCCCTGCCTCTTCCCTCTTCACTGCGGGAGGCGGGAGGAGAGTTAGGCCCGGCGTAGGGATCCACAGCGCAGCGCTCCCGGCGCTGCTAATGTCTGACCGGGGCCTTTGTGCTGAGCTACACCACAAATTTTTTTTTTTGGAGACAGGGTCTCAGTATGAGATCCAGGCTGGCGTTGAATTATGGCGATTCTTTTGCCTTCACCTCCAAAGTCCTGGGATTACAGGCTTGGACAGCACACTGGGCTTCAGCCTTTTTTATTTTATCTTTAAATTTCATTTATTTATTTATTTATCCTGCGGTACTGGGGGCTCGAACTCAGTACCTTGAGAGGCAGGTGCGGTGCTACGGAGCTAAATCCCCGGCCACTTTTCGAGGCAGAGTCTAGCCATGGTAAATTGGTAACTGCTTCGGCTGGGCTCCATATCCTCCTGCCTCAGCCTCCCAGAGTGTACACCACCACGCCTGGTATTGGCTAAGCAGACAATGTGAGCAATACTCAGAATTTCTTAACTAATGGATTCATGGCAAATCAGAAGTCTCTAGTGTACACTACCAGGCTCTGACCTGACTACTGGTCTGTTCCAACTTGTACAAATGGTGTACCGAAGAGCACCGATGGTAAACCAGGGGTGGTGACGCCCGCGGTCCCAGCATTCTGCGTGCTGAGGTAGGACAATCAGAATGACAGCTAACTTTTCTGCTCTCTTTTCTTTTTTTGTGTTTTGAGACAAGGTCTGGTTACATAGCTCAAGCTGGCCTTGAATTCACTATGTATCTCAGGTTGGCCTTAAACTCATGGTGATCCTCCTGCCTCAGCCTCCAGGTGCACACCACTGTGCCCGGAATCTCTGGGTTTTTATTGCTTGACAGTGAGTCAATAGTGTGATGAAGTGGGACTGAAGAGAATCTAGGGGGGCTGTGGGTTCTCTTCCAGTACAATCCACAAATGAGCAGGTGCCGGGTTAGTCTACGTGGCTTGGTTAGGCCATCTTGAACTTGAACTTTCTAAGTAGCCCAGGTTGCCCTCGAACTCACAGGGATCCTCCTGCCTCAGCCTCTGGAATGCTGGCATGTGTTACTACCCTGGAAAAAACACAACTTTTTTTTTGTGGTGCTAAGGATTGAACCCAGGGCCCCATTCATTCTAGACAGTCAGTCTAGCACTGGTTATATACTCAGTCCAAAATACAACTTTTTTTTTTTTTTTTTTTGGTACTAGGGAGCGAACTCGGGTCCTTGCACTTGCAAGGTAGGCGGCGGAACCAGTGAGCTAAATGCCTGGCCAAAATACAACTCTTAATTCAGAAATATATTAACAAACATGTAGGTTTTGTTTTTCGTTGCTGTTGTTGCTTTGAGACAATAATCTCACTATGTATTTCAGCCTGGCCTTGCACTTACTATATAGCCCAAGCAACCTTGACCTCAGAGTGATCTTCCTGCCTCAGCCTCTCGAATGCTGGGATTATAAGTGTGCACCACCATGGCTGGCAAAAAGAGAATAATTTTTCAGTGGCTTCAAACTATCTATGCCTGGCTAAAGGTGCAACAGACCGGCTCACCAGAGGCTCCCCTGCTGGGCCCCTCCCATGGCAACTGGCACCTTCCCCGAAGTGAGGCCCACCTTCGTCTTCCAGGGGTCCCCCCGGAGCTGAGACCCAATGCTCTTCCAGATATTTGAGGTACCTAATAAGGACAGTGACCTTGGGGCCCTAGCGCACACCACCTCCGGGAAGATCGGCACGGGCTCCGCGTCCCCGGGACTCAGGGACTCACGTGTATGAGACCTGTGGCAGCAGTCAGTCCCTGCTGTAGTCTGCTGTTATCTCGGCTCCTCCCTCAGCCTCTGCCTTGAAATTCCCCTGGTGTGAGTCACTGCCGGCTAAAGACAGACAGCAAGGCTTCTCTGCGGTGGGTGGGACGAAGCCTCCCCTTGCTGGTAGTTCTCTCCGAAGAAAGCTCTTTTATAAGAGGTGTCTTCGCCTTTTATACTCTTGAATGGATGAAGGGTTCAGACATTGTGGAACTGATCCTTGGTGATTTCCATTACAGTTTTGCACTTCTGTCTGGCTTCTCCCTTTGGGCTTTCTATTAAATCTTGGTACTTCAGCTGAAACATCCAGTTTAAAAGTTTACATGAAAGGCATAAACCCCTTATGCCTCCCGCTCTTTATGAGGTCTGTGTGCTGTAGTCACACTTCACGGGCCATGTCACGAGCAGTGGCGGACCTGCTAGGACAGGGACTGGCCATGCTCTCCCTCCCCGCTGCCCACGAGGGGAAGGTACAGGGCTCCCCGTGGGTCCAGACCTGCTTCTGAAGGTATACACTGTGGTCTGGGGGCAGCCGTGGGCTGTAGAGTCTGTCATTGCCCGGGTAAACTTAGATAAATGATCTTTTCTGAGCTTCATTACATTTTTATAAAAGTCATTTTAATTTGAAATCTCATGTTTAATTATTCATGACCATTATGTTTTTTGTTTTGTTTTGTTTGTTTGAGACAGGGTCTCACTATGTAGTTGAGATTGACCTGGAACTATGTAGCCCAGGCTGGTCTCGAACTCACAGCAATCCTCCTGCCTCAGCCTCCCGAGTGCTGGGTTGACACGTGTGCTCCACCACGCCTGGCTACCATTACTTCTTACAAAGGGGTAAAACATTACAGATGAGACGAAAGTTCTTTTCAGTTCCACCTCCACTCCACTCCCCAATCTCTGCTCTGAAAGTAATCACAATTTTTAATTTAGAATTTAGCCTTGCAGTCCTTTTTCAGAAAAATCTGTTTTTGCTCTTGTTTTTGGTAGTGCTGGGGACTGAACCCAGGGCTTTCACATGGAGGTCCATCTTTTTTATTTTTAGACAGAGTCTTGCTAAATTGCTCAGCTGGGCTGGAATTTGGAATCCTCCTGCCTCTGCCTCCCAGCGCACTGGGATTACATCTGTGTGCCACCATGCATTTATCTATCTGACATAAGGTCTTGCTATGTAATCTGTGCAGGTCTGCAGCTCCCTTTGTAGATCAACAGTCTTCTTCCCCTAATGTCCTCAAGGCTGGTGTTACAGGCATGCACCACCATACCCAGCTGCTTTTGTTATTGTTGTTGTTCTGCTTTTAATCTATAAAAATAGGATAGAAACCGAATGTGATGGCTCATGCCTCTAATCCTAGCACTCTGGAAAGATGAGGCAGGAGGATCATGAGTTCAAGACCAGCCTGGGCAATTTAGCAAGATCCTCAAATAAAGAAATAAAAGGGCCAGGGATTTAGCTCAGTGATGCTGTGCCTGCCTCACAAGTGTGAGGTCCTGAGTTCGATCCCCAGTACAAAAAAAAAAAATCAGGGCTGGGGATTTAGCTCAGCGGTTCGGTGGCCTGCCTTGCAAGCGCAAGGACCCGAGTTCAATCCCCGGTACCCCCCTCCCCAAAATCATGTCTTTTATTCTGTCTTTTCCACTCAGCCTTCCAAGCACTAGGATTATAGGCATGCACTACCCAGAATTCTACTTTTTTATTCTGTTCCATTTAGCCAGGCAATGTTGATTTTGTGTATTATGTCTTTTGTTCCTTGTGGATTTAATTTCAAACCACAGAGAAAAAAACAGCGAGAGATCCATTGTCCAGGTTTTTCCTCTAAAACAGCTTTCCAGGGGCCAGGGTGCTGCTGCCTGCCTCACAAGGGCAAGGTCCTGAGTTCATTCCTTTTTGTCTTGGCTCTCAACCCTCCTTATTTTGAGACAAGAGACTTGTTAAACTGTCCAGGCTGGCCTTGAACTTGCAGTCTTCGTACCTTGGTCTTGTCACTGCAATTACAGGTATGCACCACCATGCCCAGCTGCAGCCCTCTGGCTTCTGTCTTTCTGTAACACAGCTTGCAGGGTCTAAATATAGCTAAGCGTAGGCTGGGGAAAGTAGGTGGGACCGTCGAATCAAGGAGAAATTGTGCAAAAAGGCAGATTTTCTGGGCATGTCCTCATCTGTTCCCAGCCCACTCCAACAAAACCCTAGGACAGGGTTTTATTTTGTTTTGTTTTTCTTTGCAGTGCTGCGAACTGAACTCAGGGCTTCATGACTGCCGGGGAAGTACTCTACCGCCGAGCTGGACCCAAGCCAAGGAAGGCCTTCAGGCTCTGATCTTGACTCACAGCAGTCAAAGTGAAGAGCTAAAGCCCGCATGAATATTATTTTTACTAATTATGTAAATTCCTGTGCGATTGGGGGAATCCCCTTGGTGCAAGAGAGGAAGGGTAGAAGCTTTTGCTTCCCATTTTCACCAGGTGCCACTTTCAGGGTGCTCAGGGCAGAGACTGAGGTTGGAGGATTCCCTTCTGATGAAGATGTGGTAGCCCCAGAGGAAAAGTCAAAGGGGAGAAGCCAGGCACAGGGGTGCAGAAGTCAGGGCAGGCGCTGCGGGAAGACTAGTTGGATCCAGCCTCAGTTAGAGCAACCCCTCCCGAAGTCAGTACAGGTTCTCAACTGGGGAACTCTGGGGGCATTTGGCAACATCTGGGACTTTTCTGACTGTCTCAACTAAGAACTTACGGGTAGGGGACAGAGACGCAGTGAAAGCACCCTGAAATACACAGGGCCGCCTTCCCCTCGAAGAGTTACCCGACTTACAGCGGGACTGGTCAAGGTCGGGAAGGCCCGAGAGCAGAGGTGCTGACACCATAGGACGCCTCTCCTCTGTCCCCTGCAGGAGCCCAGGGAGAAGTCCTGCCATACCAAGAGGCCGCCACATGGCCACTTATTTCTCCGGGTCCCGAGGAAGTCTTAGCTTACAATGCAAGTAGGTAGTTTACTTCTAACAAAAATAATGGCGGCTTCAAGGGAAGAGGGTCTAGGGTATAGGAAAAGCGTCATGGGAGAGGCTTTGTAGGGACTGACTTGGAACACCCCGCTAAACCGAATCAGCATGGTTTGAGAGTGAAAGAGCCACCTGAGCAGTTGGCAGTGGCATAAAAAGAGACGTGGAGGGGAAGATCGTGGGCTCTTGATTTTCTAGGAGAAGCTTGCTGCAGTTAGTTTTCCGGATGTGAACTTGGCTGTTCTTGGATGTCGCTGGAAATGGCTGCTGTTCTCGTCAGGGAGCTGTGATCTGCCCCGAATCACTTCCTGGCTTCAGGGCAGAGCCCTCACCCCGCAGGTGCAGGTTCTCTGACCTCCACCACTGGCCTTTGGGCCTTCCAGGTGCAGACCCTCCGTATGGACAAGCAGGCGTTGTTGCGTGGGCTCTAGGCCACTGGCTGGACTCCTGGAGGACCTGCCTCGGGCTCTGGGCCTTCAGCTGGACTTGTGAGGGACACTGCCGCGGGATTAGTTTTCTTTTCTTTTCTTTTTTTTTTTGTACCAGGGATCAAACTCAGGTACAGGCGTTGGCACCACTGAGCTACATCCCTGGGTCCCTTGGCTGGATTCCTTGGGCCTCTGGAGTGTGGCTAGATCTCTTGCACTCCTCCACATTTGACTTTTTGGGGTGACTACTATAAAATAATCCTATAAACGATGTGTCCTGTATTAATCTATTTCCCATGCAAACCCTGACTTCAACACTGTGAACTATGTAAAAGGGCACCATTCCTGAACCTTGGTTTCACTATTTATAAAATGAGTACACAGAACTCGGTCATCTTAATGCCTCGTTGGTACCCAAGCTTGGTACTTTTTCTTTTTCACTTTTTTCGGTGGTACTGGGCCAGCACACCAGTGCTGAATCACACCCCCAGCCTCCTGTTTTGTTATTTTATTTATTTTGGTACGGGGATCAAACTTGGGACCTTGGACTTTTGAGGCAGGCAGCTGAACCACTGAGCTCAATCCCTGGCCCACAGCCCTAGACTAAAATGTTTTATTTTGAGACAGGTTCTCACTAAATTGCCTGAGTATTGTAGCTGGGATTATAGGCTCTGCCACTATGCTAGGTTTTTGCTCATAGTATCATTTTTCTCCTCCCCCTCTTTTTTGGTGTGTGGAACTGGGGAGCAAACCAGGGCCTTCATACTGAGCTACATACCTATCCCTTTTTAAATATTTTAGAAGTTGAGACAAAAAAATTTTTGAGACAGGATCTCAATAAATTGCTAAACTTCTCAGACTGGCCTGGAATGTGCAGTTATTCTGAATTGGCCTCCCAGAGCACTGGGATTACAGGTGTAAAGCACAAGCCAGGCTAAGAGGGGACAACCTGATTTTTTATCTTTTGAGACAGGGTGTCGAGCTCACCTGACCCTCCTGCCTCAGCCTCCGAGTGCTGGGATCACAGGCGTGAGCCACCAGGCCCGGCCACTCACTTCCTTCGCCCTTCTCTGACCACTTAGCTCTGCTTCCTCCCCATATTCTCTTTACAGAACCCTTAACACTGCCTCATTGGCTGACCTAGAGGGTTTTTTTTCTTCTTAGATTAGAAAGTAGGGAAGGATGGGGTTTTAGCTCAGTGGCACGGTGCTTGCCTAGCAAGTGCGGGGTCCTGAGTTCGATTCCCGGTAAAAAAAAAAAAAGACAGAAAGGGGAAACCGATTCACAGCAGCTCTGTAGCGTCCGCTCCAGACCATCGGTCTGTACTGAACTCCATCCTTGTGGGACAGACACCACGCCCAGGTAAAACAGTTTACTTATTTATTTTTTGGTACTAGGGATTGAAGTCCCGACCTTGCACTTGTGAGGCAGGCAGCAGAACCACTGGGCTAAATCCCCAGCCCGAACACAGTTGATTTTAGAGGTGATAACCGAACAGAATCCAGCTAGGTGAGTCCCTCTGGCAGCTGGATGTGGGCCGCACCCTCTACCCCACCCTGGACACCCACCCTTCTGCCAGTGGCAGTGCAGTTCCAGCTCTGGCTCAGCATCTTTTCACTGAGTGTTCGCGGCGTGCAGCTCCATCACTTCTTTTCCTTCCAAATCATCTCTCCCGCAGTTTGCGGCTGGGAGGCTGACCAGGTCATCGCTCCTTCCTTCCTACCCGCTTATCCAGCTGGAATTATGTGGCTTCCTTAGTGTTTCACCGGCACTTCATCCATCTGCTTCCTGTCGATGCACTGTGTCTACAAATCACGATCCAAGATCTACACTCTAATGAGGCCCACACCTGTAAACCCAGCATTTGAGAGGCTGAGGCAGGAGGGTCACCATGAGTGTGAGGCCAACCTGGGCTATACAGTGAGACTCTATCTCAACAAAAGGTCTTCTCCGCACTCACACCCAGGCGGCTGGGTGCTGCCAGAGAACAGCAGCATACGCGGGCTGGTAGCATCGCACCTTCATGATTTCCAATCTTTTCCATACCCTTTCCGGCTGTTCTGGTTCGTTCTCTCTTCATCCCCCTCCCTTTCATTTCCTCTTCTATGTCCTTCTGTAGCTTTTTTTTTTTTTTCATTTTCATGGGGCTATTTCATAATCACAAAAATCTTACGTAATTCTGATTTTTTTTTTTTTAGGTTTTCCAATTTTTTTTGCATTTCAATTCTTTGAACCATTTAAAATCTTAAAAGATTTTAAAGTTCTATAAAAAACAACAACAGCTATGATACACCACCTACTCTATACTGTAAAACTAATTTTTAAAAACTTTTGGGGCTAGAGATTTAGCTCAGTGGCACCGCGCCTGCAAGGACCTGAGTTCGATCCCTGGTACCAAACTACTTTTTTTTTGGTACCGGGGATCGAACTTGGGACCTTGTGCTTGCAAGGCAGGCAGTGGAACTACTGAGGTAAATCCCCGGTCCCCCAAACCACTTTTAACACAGGGTCTCATGTAGCCAGCCTTTAACTGTGTGACCTTCCTGCCTCAGCTTCCCTAGTGCTGGGATGATAGGCGTAAACCACCATGCCTGTAATAAAAAATAAATGACAATACCTAAGAATGCAAAGGAATTTAATAACACAAAATAATGAGATATCTAACATCTAAACATTTCTGTGCTTTTCTAAATAAGCTGGAAATTTTCCAACGTAACTCAACTTGCCCCACTGACTCAGCACTAACTAGTTTACTACTGATACACTGTAACATGCCCCTTCAGAATGAGCTGCTAGTCCATTAATAGTACACTCAAAAAGTTAAAACTGGTCTACTAAATTCCTGCCTAACTCCTCCCTCCGTAACTCCCACTCAGTACCTTAACACCCTGCTTCACACACTGAAGCTGTGACACAGGGACTCCGTGAATGTCCTGTGTCCCAGTCTGAGGCCCTGAGATCGCCTGGCGTCTCAAGCAGGATGGGGCATGCGTCCCACTGGAGGCCCATGACGGACTCGGCCGGCTTCGCAACCAGACCAGGCCGGCGCCACACAGTAAGTGCTCAGTAAATGTGTGCGGCACTCGGCTCCTTTCTCTTCAGAACTCTGCTTTTAGCCGGGCCCGGTAGTCCCTGCACTCTGGGAGGCAGGAGCATCTCAAAATCAAACCCAATCTGAGCAATGTATGGAGGCCCTGATTCAATATAAAAAATAGCTAGATAGCCGGGCATGGTGGCGGATGCCTGTAATCCCAGACTGAGGCAGGAGGATCGCTGTGAGTTCGAGACCAGCCTGGGCTACATAGCGAGTTCCAGGTCAGTCTCAACGACATAGTGAGACCCGGTCTCAAAAAACCACCACCACCACCACCACCAACAAAAATAGCTAGACAGCATACAGTGCAGCACCCTGGGTTCAATCCCCTATATGCAAAAACAAATCAACAACAAAACTGTGCTTTTTGATTATCATTTTCTATTGAGCTTCAATTTTTACTTATTCTTTTCACTCAGTGAATAAATACATTTAAAAGATTCTCATCATGAAACAAAAAACCTTTCCACATCATTTAGTTCCACAAGCCCAATTCTACCCCGACTAATCTACTGCCATTGGTCTCAGAAAGGTCACCAACTGTGCTCCTGTCAGCAGCACTTCCACGGAAGGTTACTGTCTGCCAAGTCAAACGGGAACTTGGGTTCTACATTCTGCTCTCTTATTGTTTTCAGCGCTGAAATTACCTCTTTTCCAATCAATGCAGCCCCCAAACCTTGAAAAACACACGTAGTAGACACACACATATCTACCCTCAGAACAAAGTTATCTACTATTTGAGTACACTTTTTGTTTTGTTTTTTGAGATAGGGTCTTGCTATGCCATTCAGGCTGGCCCTGAACTCGTTATGTAGCCTAGGTTGGCTTCAAACTCACAGCTTGTGCTGAGACTGAAAGCATGTGCCACCATGCCCGGTGTGAGCAAGTCCTACATTTGGACGTATTTTATTATATAGGTTGAGATGATTTCATTCTTTGCCTCACTGAATTTCCTATAGAATTCTCTACTATGATTTTTTTCTGGAGTTAATATTTGATTATTTGAACAGGATTACACTCATATTCTGTGATCTGAGGTTAACATAAAAAAGACTTCCAAATGACAGCAAAAAAGCTGTGAAGTAATCAGAAGCAGGGTTTATGTATTTATTCATTCATTCAGGTGATTCAAGTGTCGAGGGAGGCTTTTTTTTTTAGCATTACACAATCCCATATTTAACAATCTTTGCTTCTCAGCAATTCTTTTATTATAACCTTTATCACCTGGAAGAGATTCTTTTATCTGAAGCTTTTCATGCATTCAGGTATTTTGCATGATGTCTGATGTGATCAGCAACAAAGGTGGCAATGAAGCAGTATCCATGATCATAACCCTCTTGTAATCTAAAACAACAGGGATTTTCTTTTCTGTACGGGCAGCAATTAAGCGTCTGGGAGTAGCAGTCCATCTGAAAGGCGCTGGTTATCTTTTCCTTGATCCGTCAGTGTGTCCAGCGGAGAACCTGGGTAAGACTTCAGAAGATGGGTTGCATCCTGTCTTCCGTTTACTTTCATCTGTTCTCAAATATCCAGTAAAGGCTTTTTTTTTTTTTTTGCCCCAACGACAAAGAACTGGGTTGCAAACTGGAGCAAATGCTGACACAGATTTGTATTTTTCAGGGTTTTTCAAAGCACAAATAAGTGCTCCATGGCCTCCCACAGAGTGGCCAAAAATACACATCCTTTGGGGTCCACTGGAAAATTGGCATTTATGGGTTGGGGAAGCTCCTCTGTTACATGAGTGCATTCTACAGTTTGTTTTCCAAGGATCATCCGTGGCATTTACATAAACCTCACTCCAGTGCCGAAGTCCCAGCTATCACCTTCTCCTTTAATATGGCACTCACGAGGGCTGGTTTCTGGGGCGAAGACGACAGGGCCGTGTTCTGAGGCAGCCTGATGATAACCAGATTTCGATATAAAATTTTGCCCTGTGCAAGTTAAACCAGAAAGCCAATACAGGGCAGGGCACTTTCCAGTGTTTGCCTTTGGTGGTAAGTAGACAGCAAATTTCATTCTACATTTCATCTCCACACTCATGTTCAAAAACTTTCTGCAGTCCTCCAGAGCACTTGCGCTGCAAATCTGCTCTGGCACCACTATTTTCTTGTCCAATTGTTATTTGCTTGTCTGTACCAAAGGGCAGACAACCACTGGGTGCTGGGGTTGCAGTGGCGCCGATTATTATTTATTGAGACAGGGTTTTGCTATGAAATTCAGGCTGGCATTGAATTCAACTTACTATGTAGTCCAGGCTGGCCTCAAACTTGTGACAATCTTCCTGCCTCAGCCTCCTGAGTGCTGGGATTACAGGCGTGCGCCACCACGCCCGGCTCTCTATTCCCTACTGAAATGTTAGCTTCATTAAGGTTAGCCTCCAGTCTTTCCATGGCTTTCACTGAATAGCTTTACTAGTTTTTTTTTCT